TCTGGTGGCTGCCGACAATCCTTGGCATCCATTTGTCCACATCAGTCCAGCCCCTGCCTCTGTCATCACATGGCCTTCTTCCCTCTGTGTGTGTCTGGGTATGTCCAGATCTCTCCTTATTCAATCCAGTCATAGAGTCATTGGATCTAAGGCCCACCCTAATCCAGTATGACCTCATCCTAACTTGGTTACATCTGCAAAGACCATACTTAAGGCCACATTCACAGGTTCTGGGGGTTAGTACTTCAACATGTCTTTTTGGGGAACACAATTCAACCCACAATACTGGTATTTTTAAGTGTGTTCTTTCCTGCTTCTTGGGTGTGTTGGAAATGAACTACAGAATCTGAGAGTGCATTTCTACATGTATGCCCAGTACCTTATGTGGCCCCCTGGGCCGTGGACACCCCTGGGCCACGGACACCTCGCTATGTTCATGCATCACTATACTCAGCCACCATTCTTGTGAATGTGATTTTCTTCACTCTAACTTTGGAAGCTGGTTGCTTGTTTTCATGTGCTAAAGAGACTATTTCTGCCCTAATGGAATATTCCACCTGGAACAGTTTGAACCTTCTCACAGCCAACAGAGACTCCTCAGGGTTCTGGAAATAGAACAAGAAGCCAGTTTTTGGCGTAAGAGGGAATACTTAAGCATCCCGGATGGCGTTGGAGACTGCCACTTCAGACGTTGTCAGCACTGCATTGAGGGGTTGAAAACAGATTCAATGAAAGTGGCCCATGGCTCACTGGCAACTGTGGGGGCCCTTGTGCATTTCCTGGCTGTTCTGAAGACTCCAGCATCTCACCCACGAAGTGGAAGTTTTGTGGCCTGAAGCTGCAAGTTCCCTCATACCAGAAACATTTTCCTAAGCACGGAAATGAAGCTACATGAAGAAGAAAGTTAGACAGTGTTCCAGCTGCAGGACACGCTCAGTGCTTCCTGGAAGGGTTTGGAAAACATTGTGTATCTAGAGGGAGCTCTGCCCATGTGGGCTGCAGCACTCGGGAACTTTTTCTTTTGTTATTTTTTTTCTCCCTCTGACAGATGTTTGTGTATGGAAATGTGGTCTTTAATTCCTTAAAGACCCGTCTCTCTGGAGTTAATTTCTCTTTTGAAGTCATAATCTTGTGTGTAATGCTTTCTGGTCAGCTTGACTCCAAGTAAAGCGTTATATGTCACAGATGGGGAAAATTATGTGGGCTTTTTGTATTCCGTGTGGGCATAAAAGAAGATAGCTACAGGCTAGAAGTGAAGACATGGAGGTGCTCACTTTTCGAAGCCCATTGGAAATGGAGGATGGCCGTCTAACATCATTCTTCACTGCATCTGATTTAATTCTTTCACAAATACACAAGTACTCGGAGGAGGCAAACGAACCTGATTTCCTTCCATGCTTATCTCCAGCATGACGGGCATTGCCTGACACTTATAAAGAGCAAAGCTGCAAATTCACATGAACCCTCCAGGTTCTGGACATAGTGTGTGTGCAGGGGGTGTCTTTAGATTCACACTGCTCAAAGTTGCCAGTGTAGGAAACAGAGAAGAGAGCTTACCACTTGTTGATAATTTGCCTGCTCTGGCTAAGACCTCAAGTCCCTCCCAGATTCCAGAAGTACTTCAGGAAACTACGTAGGATGTGTTCTTGGGAGCTCTGTTGACTATTTCCAGTTCCTCAGGGCTTGAACTGCTGCAAACCTGTTGCAGAGCTGCTATGCGGGTCTCTGCTCTGGATGTCTCTTCTGGTCCCTGCAGAAAGTGAGAGGCTCTGGGTCGGCTGAACAGAAGAATGGAAGGAAAGGACCCAGATGTGGTGCTCCTTACTGACCTCCTCCCCGCTCCAGCAGCCTGTGAATGGCCAGCCAGAGAAGCACCAGCCCTGCTAGAATTGTTGGGAAACATTCCGTATTCATAGTTGCTAAATTTGACCTATGCACTAGAATAACATGGGTTTTTTTCTGAATGACGTTCCTGCTGTCAGCCTCTCCTGGACCTAAGTGGTGAGGACCACACAGTGCAGCACTAATTTAGCAGAACAGTGCAGCTGATTTACTAATAGGTACATTGTGGTTGAAACTTGGGAAAGAATGCCTCCATTTCACATGCATTTATATCCTCTCATTTTCTTGTTCTATTAACAATGTCCAAATAAGTTTGGTGTATGGGGAGAAAGACACATTAGCACTACATAACGAAGAAGCTTCATTATGCTAAAGCCAGCTGAGTGTGTTTAACACATTCCTTCCTCTGTGTTGCAGAAGACGTGGATGTCCAGTGACATGGGGAATGAGTAGTTCCAGGCCTTTCTCCTGGGTGGATAGCAGGGGTGGTGGAAGATGACCTATCCTTCCATCAGGAAAGGAGCCCAGCTAAGCAGAGCGGAAGGAGAGGCTCGCCCATGGCTCCAGCAGCGCTAATGGCAGGGCTGTTGTGATTGGTCACCCTCTGGCCCCACCCCATGCTTGGCCTGGTGACTTATAGGCCACACTGGAAAGCCACCCTCGAAAACCTGGGTGAAGGCAGACTGCTTGGATGCCAAGAAGTCCATGGGTACCCAGTCAAACCCACAGGAGCAGACTTTTCTAAGTCTTAGAGATGAGCAAAGCATCAAGGCACATAGTGGTGGAAAGCATTGGTTCTAATCCATGGTCAGTCATACCAGCTAGTTTGTCACTTTCGGCATGTGACTTACTTGCTCGTGCCCCCTTAGGTAAAGCATTTAGAATGTGGCACCTAATCGCTACTTAATAAATATTAGCTATTATTATGTCTGCCTAAGCAAATTGACATGGCCATTGCGACGTCAGCTCTGTTGCTGGTCTCCCAGAGTGAGAGCCCAGGGAGCCAGGCTGGTGTTTGGCAGCGTGGTGTGCTCATTTATTTAACCCTTGGCCTTCAGGCCTTGGCGGCCCCCTGCATGCAACACCCTGTCCTTGCAGCAATGACCAAGACTTGGGTCTGTGGTGTCTATGAGAAACATCTCCTTTGAGATAGGAGCGACACCTCTGAGTGCGTGCTACCTCTTTGTTAACAGGCCACATGTGTCATTCTTCAGTTGTCCTTAAGAGCACAGCCTGTCATGTCTGAGCAGGCCTGTGTATTTTAGCACAGAGGTCCAAAGAGGTTCTCGATCTAAATACTAGGCTGGTAAAACTTAGCTCCAGAAGGTGGCCCCCAGTAAAAACAGTTAATACAGAGGGTACCAAAAAAATATATATACATTTTTAAAAAGGAGAAAAACTGTATTAAAATTGTAAAACTCAATACATACCTATAACAAAAGATGAATACAAGTCATGTGTACACATTTTTTTGGCATCCCTGGTATTTATTGAGTATGTGTATTATTTGCCATGCAGGTAATATTATTTGCCGCATCTCCCATATGGACTCATTTACACTTTACAGCATTCCAATAAGATAGTTACTAATTTTATCCCATTTTTTTACATGAGGAAACTGAGGCTCAGAAGAGTTAGTAAGCTGCCTGAAGTCATACAAAGGCGACCTTGCTGGCATTTGAGGCTGGGGATGTCGCTTTGGTCCTGTCAGCCACTCTAGACATGAATCTGTGTGGAATGAACAGCCGGCCAGTCTTGTCCTCCCGGGGACAGGTACTCAGGTGCTGCTGTGAAGCACAGCGTTGCCCAGACTGCATTTATGGAGGGGCTGCCATGTGCTAAACCTTTGGACTCACTGTTTGGAAGAAGACGGTAGCAAATGATTAGCAGCATTTGTGATCAGTGCACTCCTGAAAGTGGAAGTAAGGAACGGATTTAGCGCCAAAGAGGGGATGAGTAACTCAGTGAAGGAGGAGGAAATGCCTCCTGGGGAGGTGACTTCTGAGCTAGGTTTTGAAGAATAAATACGAGTTCACTAAATGTACCTGGAGGGCACAGCAGGCAGAAGAAATAGCATGCAAAGGACAGAGGTATGGAACAGCAGAGGGCTTTAAGGTGGGGGTACGGCAAGTCTTTTAGCATGATGGATGATAAGGCATGGGAGGAAATACCACGTGTGTTGAGATGGGAGACGCAGAAAGAGCTAGAAGACAGAGGGCCCAGTTTGCCATGCCAGGGAACCTGACTATCTGAGCGTGTAGGCAAATTAATAATATCACAGTTTTAAAACAAGGTTAAAATCCCCAAACCTTGATGCAGTCAGTAGTCCTGTTTTTCTCCCCCCGTTTTTATCGTTACGATTATTGAAGGGAAAGATTACAAAAGTTAATAATAAGCTCCATACTGATGTGTATTGCTGTTGTGCTAAAGAATGGCTTTTTTAGTCTCCTCCACTTGTCTCTCCATTTTTTTCATCAGCAGTTCTTTTCGCAAATGTTATTCTCAGATGCCAGGATAAGTACTTTTGAGAGTTTTTTTTTAATGTTTTTTTAAGCGGCCTTTGATTGCATAAGAGCATCATGTAGAACTGTTTCCAGTAGTATCTTTATAGCAGGAATGGAGGCTAAGACTGATTATGTAATTGTTCCCTTAATTTATTCTCAGAACCTAACGTGCTGCCAGCGTGTTAAAAAAACCCTAATGATCATAATGGCATCTGAGTGTCTTTCCTGCTCATAATTTCTGGCACTGTGTCTTGCATTGTATACTGCAGAGTAGATATCAATGGTTTAAATGTGCATGACTGTTGGCTCAGCACTGGACACCCCCAGACTCATAGCTCTGTCTCTCCATCTTGCATGTGCAGCCTACAGCCAGCAGCTCTCACCAGAGGAAAGATTCATGTATATTCATTGGAGACCCTCATTGGGGGTCTCGCATGTTAACATTTGAAGCAGGAGAGGCAGTGTACGGCTGCTGTGCTGAGGTTGTATTTTAGAAGGAGTGCACAGCACCATCTGCCAGAGGAGGTGGCGGGAGCGTGCAAATACTGCTGTGAATTCCATGAATGCTTAATTGCTAGAAAAAAATTTTTTTTAATTTAAGAGTCTTTGCATTTAGTTTGTTTGTTTGTTGTTTGTTCTTTTTTTATTTTTTAGAATAGTCCTTATCAGTGGCAGAAGATCCTTCTGTAGTATATTTTCAGTGCTGCCGTATCGCGACAGTGCCCACGTTGGGTATGTATATGCATGCTTGCTTTATAGTTCTCTGGGTGAAAAGTTGTGATACCATGTGCATAATGTGCTTCTCTTTCCATTTCAAAGAACTTGCCTCACTTTGACACTGCAAATTCGATATTTGTAAATTTGAAAGAAAAAAAATTTCCACTTTCTTTTCAACCAGAAAGCTTCCTTGTTATTTTGTGTGTGCATGCATGTTGTGGGCATGTGTGTCCTCACCATGTTGCCTCCTGTTTCTAAATATGCATTTTGATGTCTCTTCCATTACTGCAAAGCAAGAACAATACAGGGTTCACCCTATTCCACAGGGTGTTGTCGACTTTTGGAGAAAGGTAGGTCAGGAGAGAAATTAGACAAGCCATGTATCAGTCCTGCCTCCTTGCATCTTGGGCTTATGGCTGGAAACTGACCAGCAAGCTGGAGTACCAGGAACAGATTGTGATTTGCAACAGGCCAGAGGAACAATCACCTCTCTAGATCAACAAGCCCCTCCTTTTGCTATGAAAAAAAGTTGGTAAGTGAGGCTGTGCTCTTGCAAAGCCTCCCCTCTTCATTCCCCATCCCGGAACTCTACTCCTTTCCTCCTCTGGGCCTTACTCCCTCACCCCTCACCTGTTCACTGCATCTGGTGTTTGTTGTCAGGGAGCTGCTGGTATTTAGGACGGGACAGTTCACTGCGTAGGATGCTGGGAGCATTGTGGGAAGTTGGCTCTGGCCTCCGCAAACTAAATGCTGGCATTGCCCTCTGGTCGTTGTGACAACCACACGCTGTTCACACATGACCATTGCCCCGTGGGAGGACAGGCAGTATGGCCCCTGGTGCTGATGCATCATTTACAATAGCCCCCCTTATCCACCACCTTAGACCTTAGACCACACGGTATAAGACCCCCAATAGATACCTGAAACCATGGATAGTACTGAACCCTATATATACTATGATTTTCTATACACACATACCTAGGATAAAGTTTAATTTATAAATTAAACACAGTAAGAGATTAACAATAATAACTAATAATAAAATAAAACAATTATAACAATATACTATAATAAAAGTTACGTGAATACGGTATTATTAAGTAAAATAGGGCTACTTGAACGCAAGCACTGCGATACCATGATAACCAAGATGGTTACTAAGTGCCTAATGGGTGGGGCGCATCTACATGTGGGGATTCTAGACCAAGGGGTGATTCATGTCCCAGGCGGGATGGAACGGGATGGCACTAGATTTTATCAAGCTACTCAGAATAGCACACCATTTAAAACCTATGAATTGTCTGTTTTTGGAATTTTCCATTTAATATTTTTGGATCATGGTTGATGGTAGGTAACTGAAATGGCAGAAAGCAAAACTACAGATAAGGGGGGACTACTGTATTTCAGGAAGGGCCACCTGTAGGATTATCAGTAAATTCAACTGTTCTGTCTGTTGGCCCAGATGAAGAAGCAAAATTCATGTGTAGGATCACAAGTTATAAACTTTTTACATTTTGGACATGAACAAACTCAAACTCACCACCCCTTCAGATTTTATAGATGAGGAAACCAAGATGCAGAAAGGTTAATTTTCTGTAACAAAACACATAATCGGATCCTTTGTGATACCTAACGGAGAAAAGAACATACCTATGTCAGCAGCATATGCTACTTAAGTACTCACATAAGAAACTATGAGCACAATTCAAAATAGTGTAATTTAGCGCTACAATTAAGTGTTCTGCTTTTGAAATGTTTTAATGAGCAGACTTCTTATTTATAAATAGCTGCCATTTATCATAATTATGACATTTTACTAGTTATTGGGAAACAACTATGCTCAAATAATAAAAATATTTGTAGTAGTAAATTACATACAATTTATTATATGTTTTCAACTACCTTAGTTCATATACATATTAACTAATACCTTTGCACTGTGGAAAATCTCTTTACTTTTATGCTAAAGCTCTTTCTGTCATAGAATTTCAGGGGTGGAAAGGACGTTAGAGGTGTCGTAATATGGCCTCCCTGCTTCACAGCTCCGGCATGTAGGCACAGGGGTGAAGCTCACCATATCCCCAGTAGAGCCCAGGACTCAGGCCACCCCAGCCTGCTGATTTTGTGGTTTCTGGCTCCCATGTTTCCATTGTACTTATGCACGTGGACTAGACCACATGGGTCTGATTATTCCAGAGAAGTGCAAACCACCCTGCTGACGGGGACAGTGTGCTAAGTTTCGACTTCATCGCAAGAAAGTTTTAAAAACAGGAAACTCAAAAGTTCATCCACTGTGTACTTGAACCTCCTTTACATGGAAAGCATTTATCAGCATGGCCTTATCGCTTTCTGGTTTTGTTTTCTGGCGTCTCATGCTGCCCTTGAGATTCCCAAGTCCCGCTCTCACATCAAGGCTTGCTCTCCCTCCCATCTGACCCCAAAGCTTTGTTCTTGGTTTTAAACAAACTGAAAACTTATATTGGCCCCTGACCTCAGTTGACCAAGGCAGACAGGCCAGTCTTAGGAGAGGTTTCACCATCCATCCATCCATCCCTTCATTTATCTATTCATTCATTCATTCATTCATTCATTCATTCATTCATTCATTCATGCATGCATTTAGTCATTTAGTCATTTCTTCTGCCCCTAGTGAGCACGAGGCTCTGATGGGGGCTGAGAGGGTGCAAGGATAAGTAAGATCCACTCTCCAGGAATTTATTGAGCAAGGAAGCCAGACATATGAACAACTAAGACAGCTGGGGCTGGAGGGCTAGAGGTGCTAGGGAGTACTTTAACTGCCCTCAAATGTTCATCAGTGTCCACATTTACAATAAATCTACAATCTTCAGTAAAAGCTAATAAGTGTTTGCTATTAATACATAAAGTCTCATTCCCACCTACTCCTCTAAGTACAGTGTACATTGTCATCCCTGCCTGCCTCCTGTGTAGAAATTCAGGGGCTACCACTGCACGGCAGCATTCATTCATTCTCTCCACAAAATCTATTAAACCTACTATGTTCCAGGCACTGTTCTAAGCAGTAGGGATACAATGGTGAATAAGAAAATATCCCTTTCCTCACAGAGCTTACCTGCTAATGGTAGGAGACAGAAACAAGCTAATAAACTAACCTTCAAACAAAAGAACGAACAATTAAGTGAGTCCTAAACTGTGTGCAGGTGGAGTGCTGAGGAAGGAGTCCAGTGAATGCAGATGCAGTGGTCTGGGAGTGCTCCCCAGAAGAGGTGACTCTTTAGCTAGACGTAGAAGTGTATGGTCTTACAGGTGGAGACGGATATTCCAGCCTCAACTTTGACTTCTGAGCATGTCAGAAGATGGGTGATCTGGCTGCTAGGCAGGGTCTCTATAATGCCCGACATACTGAAAGAATTCAATAGTGCCATTCCAGCTGGAATCCCGCTGCTGACTGTCACTGCCATGTTCAGGCCTCTGTAGTGCGAGGAAGAGGAGGCGGGTGAAGGCAGAAAGAAGTGAGCTATGCTGAGAGACCAGTTCCTGATCCTGGATGTCACTGTCACAGGCCTATCACTCAGCCTTCTGGGTCTCAGTTCCCTCATTTGTCCAATGGGGAGGTTTGGCCAGACTCCAAAGATCCTGTGAGCTCAAATAACGCATCTCAGTGTTCTCCTCCTTGTCAGCTTTCGTGTGGAAGCCATAAGTCTGGTTGAATAAGGTGTTTATGAATGGGACATGCTGTTCACACTCCCCATCCACCAATGATCTAGAGCTCCGATCTGAATTGTTGTTCTCTGTCCAACTTTTAAAAATTTGAGATTTAAGAGAATGGTCAGATCTGGTGACTTTTTGCAGTATTATTTGGTATATTTCTTGGTATGAGCTATAAGGATAGGGGCTTAATCAACCCACCCTTGAGAACAGGAACCGTTTGGGGTCATTTTACACGCCACCAGACTTATGCTAAGTGGACAATAGGATAATTCACCAAGTGATTTCTAGAGCTGCTGCTTGAAGCAGACTGCCATGATTACTTCACAACTGCCCCAGTCTTTAAACTGTCCTTCACTGCCTTGATATATAGATACAGATATCTGAGAAAAGAGCCTATTTTCTTAAGATGAGCTGATTGTGTAGTCGAACCTTTGTGTGAGCATGATATAGAGGTAATAACATAAGCTGAAACATAAATAATGCTTACAGTATGCCAGGCACTGCTCTAAGTGCATTATATACTTTGGCTTATTTAATGTTCAGAACCAACTCATAAGGTAAGTTCTCCAACTATCATTATACAGATGTGAGGCTGGGGTAGAGAGAGGTGGGGTAGCAGTAGCAGAGGTAGGAGGCAGGCAGGCAGGCTCTGTGTGGTGCAGTGCTCTCTGTTTTGGGGCTGGCCCCCCTCACAGAGGCAGTCCCAAAGGGCTAGTGCTCACCTGAGTGGATTTCCCTTCACCACCACTCCTTTGGAGCTGGGCTTGTTGGCTCTGGACCAGCAACAAGCAGATGGCACGAAGTGACGGATGTGCATCTCGATGATAGAGCTCCATGCGTGTGCCACAGGAGGGTTGCTTTCTGGGGACCCAGTGGCCAAGGTGCTGAGTGGGGGCCTTCTGATGGCTTTGGAGGTTACTGGTTTATACTGCATCCTGGGTTCCTCCAAGGGCAAACCCCAGGCAACTTTGGGTGGAGTCTTAGGTAAAAAATAATCTATGTAATTCCCCTCTCTGGGTATTTGTGGCTTATAGAATAGGAAGGCATGAATTACAGAATTATAGAGTAGGGAGGTGGTCTCATTCTTTAGGTGTCGACACTGCAATGCGGGCACTCTGGGCTTCACTGGTTCACAACAAAGTGCTGCTCACACATCTCCCCAGCGCCTCCCCAGCTGCAACCAGGTCACCCCACAACACCACAGGGAAGCGATTTTGGGACTGGTAAGGGTCTTCCTCCTGTCTTTAACACCATGTATGAAAAATGCTTCTCTTTGAGAAAGTGTGTAAAACAGTTACATTAGAGGATTATTACTCACAACACCA